CTATCCAAGATGCTCATCGAACCCCACACAAGGTAGATCCCAAAAGAAAGTCACCAAGACATATTATAATCAAACTTGCCAAAACCAAAGATAAAGAGAATTTTAAGAGCAGCTAGGGATAAACGGAAAGTCATCTTCAAAGGACAGTCAATAAGACTAAGCTCGGACTACTCAGCAGAAACCAGGCAGGCAAGAAGGCAATGAGATGACATATATAAAGCCTTGAAGGAAAAAATTGCCAGCCAAGAATTATATATCCAGCAAAACTGTCTCTCAAATATGATGGCAAAATTAGGGCATTTCCAGATAAACAGTTCCAGATAAACAGAAGTTTAGAGAATTTGCAAAAACCAAACCAAAATTACAAAAAATACTAAAGGGAGTCCTCTGGTTAGAAAATCAGTAACATCAGATAACAACCCAAGACTAAAAAAAGCAAAACCAAACCCATTGCCATCGGGGCAATTCTGACACATAGCAACCCTGTAGGACAGAACAGAACTTCCCCATAGAGTTTCCAAGGAGCAGCTGGTGGATTCAAACTGCCAACCTTTTAGTTAGTAGCCGTAGCTCGCCCTAGCTCTCAACAACTACGCCACCAAGGCTCCCTAATATGTGCCTAGTACTAGGTTATATGCTTTATATGTGTTACTGCATTTGATCCTGACAACAAACCCATGGGAAATATGATGTTGTTAGCCTCCTCATTTGAAAGATGAAGAAACCAGAATGGCTTAGAGAAATCACCTATCTGGAAAGTGAAAAAATCACAAATCCATATCTTTCTTACTCCAAAACCCATACTCTTCTCTACTTCTGTATATTATTTCCTATGGTGTAGCTAATCTGATTAACTAATATATTACGTGGATGATAATTATGTTACTTAACCCAGGTAACATACTGATATTTAACAGGAAATTAATAAACATCTTTCTTAACCTAGAAGAGAAACTATTGCCAGAATTTCATATGCCAGGGTAGACTGGTTATTAAAAATTTGAAAACTAGGTGTCTACTTCTTTGTGTACAGAAATGACCCTGTATTTGTTTCCCTAAACATTTATTTGTATTATCTTTTACTGAGAGTGTTAGCTGACCAAACGATAATTTAAATGGTTATTCAAATTAATTACCAGTAATACTAAGTTTTAAACAGTCTCCAAACAAAAAAGTACTCAAACATCAAAAGTACTATCTTCATTAATTTTAGTCCTGTGTTAACTTTTAAATTAAATGGAAGTCAAGTAACTGTGTTACCAAAATGCATTTAATAGAACTAAAGAAAAGAACATGAAGAACATCTACTAAAGGAACCAGCAGGAGATTTGTGAGAAATCCTATAATATGGAAGCCTATATACAGATGGACTCCTCTTAGGATTAACATAGTAAAAGAATAAAAATAGATTTATCTAAAAAAGCTTTATTTCTTTCACTATAGAAGCTGCCAATTTTTAAACAAAACTAAGTTCTCACTGCGTATAAACAGATCAATGTCAACATGTTAATCAGAAATTAGCAGCTATTAACCAGAAATGCTAAAAAAAATGAAAAACAAAAACAAAAGAAGACTTCCACTCAATAAAAGTAACTTCATTAATCACAAATAATCCAGTACTTACCATCTAATCTTGAGGCATCATGTACATTCCTTGCCACTTCTGCCAATTCTTCAAATTGTACTTTGTGACCTTCTGCAAGAAAAACCTTTTTTTAGCATTTTTTTCTTTTTATATATATAACAAAAAATTTTGCCACTTACGTTCTTTTTTATTGTGGTAAAAATATATATAACACAATATTTGCTAATCCAACATTTTTACATGTATAATTCAGTGACACTAATCACATTAATCATGTTATACAATCATCATGAGTATCTGTTGCCAAATTTTTCATCACCATAAACAGATATTCAATGCTTCAATATTCATTGCAGCACTATTTACAATAGCCAAAGGTGGAAACAACCTAAATGTCCATTGACAGATGAATGGATTTAAAAAAAAAAAGTTTTGTTTTGTTTTTTTCTTGCTAAGAGGTGGTAGCCAGCAGAAGATGTGTTTTCCTAGAAAATTAAGTAAAAGTCTATTTCATCAAAATAGTACAGCTATCCCAAGTAGCGTTACTGTAAAACTTGGACAGCTCTCTTCACATTTCTTAATCATCCCCTCTGTGTTCACTGGGGTGTGCCATCTTCCAGTAATATGGTACACAACTTGAAGGTATTCAATACATATTTGATCCATTTAGAGTAATAAAAAAAATAGATATTAATGTTTTTTCTACAGGACAAACTATCTGAACTTTCTATTTCATCTACAACACTCTATCTCACCAAATATAAAAGGACAAAGGTTAACAGAAAATAAAGCTATATTCTTGTATACCTTTTTAATTATTGGGAATACCCACCATCAACTGGTGCTAGTTTCATGGCAGCTAAGAACTCGTCTTTTTTTAAATTACTATTCAAACTAGACAGAATGTTCCACAGGTCAGAAACATTCATCTTCTCTTTGCTGAGATTGTTGAGGTTTTCAATAGCATCAGGCAATACTAAAGGGTAAAAAAAACACAAGTTTTACAGCATTCTTATGCAAGAAGTTAATACAATAAACTGTTATCTGAAGTAGTCAGGAATTAGGTTCTTCTGGTTGAGAGGAATAACAAATATAACATGAATGAATTGTTAATTTTCAAATATCAAAGGACAACAAAATATTCAACACTAACCACAATGAAATACCACTTCGCACCCATTAGGATAGCTAAGATTTAAAAAAAAGAAGTCAGGGGGCAGTGAATTTATGTTAATGGAGGAGGAACAACTCAGAAAAGGAGGGTGAGAATGGCTGCACAACTCGAAGAATGTTGCACCACTCGAAGAATGTAATCAATGTCACTAAACCATACATGTAGAAACTGTTGACTTGGTGTATGTTTTGCTGTGTATATTCGCAAAAACAATAAAAAAAATTTTAAAAAGAAGAAAAACAACAAACGTTGGCAAGGATGTGGAGAAATTAGAACCCTCCTCCATTGCCAGTGGGAATGCAAAATGGTACAGCTGCTGTTGAAAACAATTTGGCAATTCGTCAAAAAGTTAAACAGAATTACCATAAAAAAAACCCAAACCCATTGCCGTTGAGTTGATTCCGACTAGTAGCAACCCTATAGGACAGAGTAGAACAGCCCTATAGGGTTTCCATGGAGTGGCTGGTGGATTCTAAGGATTCTAACTGCCAACCTTTTGGTTAGCAGCCAAGCTCTTAACCACTGTGCCACCAGACTACAGTACTATCATCCAAAAAAACCAAAAAACCAAACCCACTGCCGTCGAGTTGATTCTGACTCATAGCGACACTATATGACCCAGTAATTCCACTCCTAGGTATATACACAAGAGACTTGAAATTAGTGACACAAACAGACATATGTAGACCAATGTTGAGTGCACCTCTATTCACAATACCAAAAGGTGGAAACAACCTAGATGTCCATCAGCAAAGGTAGAAACAACCTAGATGTCCATCAACAAATAAGTAGATAAACACAATGTGTTATATATGTATATATATATATAGACACACACACACACACACACACACACACACACACACACACTGGAATATTACTCTGCCGTAAAGAGAAATGCAGTCCTGATACATGCTACAACATGGATGAACCTTGAAAATATGATGCTGAGTGAAGTAAAGTCAATCACAAAAGGACAAATATTGTATGATTCCACTTTTATTAAATATATGGAATAGGCAAATGCATAGAAATCAGTTTATTAGTGGTTACCAGGGGGAGGAGGGAAGAGGGAAGAAGGAGTCATTGTTTAGGAAGTATTGGGTATCAGTTTACGGTAATGGAAAATTTGGCAGTGGATACTGGTGATAGTGCACAGCATGGTTAATGTGATCGACATCACTGAATAGTACATGTAAAAAATGTTGAATTAGCAAATATTGTATTACATATATTTCACCACAATAAAAAAGAAAAAATATTAAACACCAAATTTAATGTATCTTTGAAGATTCAGAAATATTTTGCCCCTCAGTAATCATTTTTAAAGAATAATTTTCATTGAATTATAGATATGCAAAGGTCTCAATTCACAAACATTTGTAATTGATACAACAATGAATTAAATAGCTTTTGTTCTATATCTTCCCCCAGAATTCTTCCCTGGTTCCTGCTTCCTCTTCAGTATACTCCTGCAGATCATGAAAAGAAGTCTGGGTTTTTTATTAAAATTTCAAAAGAAAACCTTTAGAGAGTTTTAAGCAGGAGGGTGAAATTATCTTACTGTGAATGCATAAAAAGATCACTTTGCTGCTATATAGAGAATGGATTCTGGAAAGTCAGACAAGAAGCCACTGCTGGAGTTCAAAGAAAGACAAGACAGTGGCTTCGACAAGGGTGATAGTGATTGAGATAATGAGATGTGGGCAAATTCAGGAAGTATTTTGAGACTTAAGCTGAAGTATTTAGTGATGAATTGAAGGGAGGCTGAGGGCGCTGGGATCATGAAGGAAGAAAAAGAACTAGGTTTGAGGCCTGAGCAACTGGGTGGATAGTCATGTCAATAACTGAGATAAAAGACTGCAGAAAGAACACATTTGATGGAAAAGAACAAGAGATCTCTTTTATACACATTAAGTTTGAGATAGATTGGGTGTTGAAAGAATACAGACATCATTTAAAGCAATAAGATCACTCAGGAGGAGCCTTAGTTAGAGAATGAGACTAAGGATGGAGTCTGAAGTCATGCTAATACTTAAAGGTCAGCCAGAAAAGAAGACAGCAAATAAGACTGAAAAGGAGATACCAAGAAAATGGCAGGAAAATTAAGAGATTATAGTTTCACAGAAAACATGAGATGAGAAAATTTTAAGAAAGAAACACATTAAAAGCTGCTAGATGTGGAACAAGATGAAGACAGAGAATCGACCATAAGATTTAGCAAGATGAGATTTCGCATTTTGTAAAAAGCTACTATGGAATAGCAAGGACAAAATCCTGAATGAGTATTTTAAAAGAAAGAAGAGATTGAGGCTAGCCAAACTCCCCCTTTAACCTCCAACACAAACAATATCAATAAAAATAACATTTGGTAATAGACTGCATGAGGGGAGTAGGAGTAGGGCTGAGGCCATGAGAGAAAGAAAGGAATCAAGAATGACCCCGAAATTTTGGGGCCCAGACAACTGGGTGCTAAGCTCAAAAAGAAGGGAAATCCCCAGATGCCAGAAATGAGGAAAAAATATTAACTGTGTACGTGTCTGAACTGACGGCTCAGCAGTCAGACCCGAGTTCAAATCTCAACTCTACTACATTCGAGCTGTGTGACTTTAAGCATATTTTTTTAACCTCTGTGCCTTGGTTTTCTCATTTATAAAATAAACATAATAATACACTTGATATAATTAAATTAATTAATAAATATAAAATACTTTTAACAGTACTGGCACGTAGCACTCAATAAATTTAACAATAATAATGAAGAATTAGCAAAAGGACAACAAAGTATATAAAAATCTACCTATGTTTGAAAACCAAATATACTTCTGAAAAAATAAAATGATGGAAATGAGGAAATATTTAGAACTAAACAATATCAAAGACACTACATACTGGAACATGAGGGCTGTTGCAAAGGCAATATTAAAGGGAAAGTTATAAGTTAAAATGCCTATATTATTTTTTTAAATCCTGAAAATTAGTAAGTATCCAAATCAAGAAACTGGAAAAACAGCAACCCAGAAAGAAGTAAACAATAAATACAATAGCAGATTCATTGTTTTTTTAATAAGACTAATAAGATAAACCTGTCAAGATTAGAAGAGATGGCATAAACCATATTAGAGAAAATAACTACAGATAGAACAGATTTTTTTAAAATTCTAACAGAATACAATGGATAAATTTATGCCAATAAATTGAAAAACTTAAGAGGAAATGTATAATTTTCTAGACATATAAATTACCAAAACTGACTCAAGAAATATACAACCTGAAATGACATGTAACCATTAAAGATACTGAGTCAATAGTAGAAAAATATTAAAACATAGATTTTATTTTATAAAAATAAAGCAAGCCCTGAAGGGAAATTTTCTAAGTCCCTATCTTATACAACCTCCTTACTTATTTTATGAGGCAAATATAACTGTGATACCAAAACAAGAAAAGAATAGGAAAATTATAGGCTAAATATGCAAAGATCAAAAAGATAATAAATAAAATATTTTCAAAACCAAATCCAGGACTCGGGCAGACATGGCTGTGGCAGCATGCTTGTCTGTTTGCCCACTCTTGCCGATTCTGTAATATTCTTTGGACTCGGGCAGACATGGCTCTAGCAGCATGCTTGTCCGTTTTCCCACTTTTGTCTGTTCTGTGATATTTCCTTGGACTCAGGCAGACATGGCTCTGGCAGCATGGTTGTCCGTTTCTCACTTTTGCTTTTTTGAATATATGCTGAATAAAACTTTGTTTGCTTTACTAAACTTTGTGATGTTTTCCCCTATAACAGTTAATTGCATAGTCATCAAGGATTTCTGAAACTACGAATCCAGTCGACCTTCAGGAGACCTGGACTGTGGAGCAGAAGCTAGCAAAGAGAGGTCCTATCTTCTAGACCCATGTAGTCCCACTTCATGTCCCTTCAACACGAACAGAGTGAGTGCTCTTGGAAAACGAGCCTTTGCTTATGTTTTTTGTTCTCTTTCTCATGTTTTCTTAAGTTCTGTTTGGCATATTTGTTTAAAACACCGGTTGTCTGATTAAGGAGAATCTTTCTTAGATTTTTGCTTGATCGTTTGGTTAAGAGTGACATTTAGTAACTCTTCAGGTGAACTTCAGTTTAGGTCCAGATTTGGGCATTTGAAACAGTAAAGAGATAATTCTGTTTCAAAGAGCTTTGAGTCCCTATAAGCCACAAAATTCAGGCCTTTTTGTGGCCCAGAGAAAACCTGGAAAATAGTGCTCTGTTTTGCCAAATTTGCAGGGGAAGGTGGCAGCTCCTGACCCGTCTTGCCGAATTCATGGGGTGGGGGGGGGAGCTTCTAACCTGTGTTATGATATTTAAGGGAGAAGTGGTAGCTTTAGAGAACTTTGCTTGATGCTCAGGTTTTGTCAAAAGGTCTAATATTATCTTGCTAATCATTAATTCTCTAATGGAAACTTTGTTGTCACATGTAAATTTTTCTATATTTTTTGTTTTCTCTGACTCAAGAAGAAATATACAACCTGAAATGACAAACTTTGAGCACTCTTTATGGATATATATTCCTGTGTGGTAGATCCAACTATACTAGTTTAGATGATCCCTTTCCAACTAATAGTGAATTTATGTGGAGAATCACTTTTTAGATTCCTGACGAATGTGTGGGCAATGCACTTTGAGAACTTTAGGATTACCTTTAGATATTCACAGTAATGATGCTAGTAAATATTGGAAAGCTAATGTTAATTTGTTACACATTGTAAAATGAAAAGTCAGAAGAAAACTCATTGGTCCAACACTCAGGATATGGTTGGTA